ATAATCACTAAACAATAAAAAGAAAAAGGTTATAAAGGGGTCCAAAGGTTGAAATTTCTCTTTACGCGCAAAAGATCTCAAGTCTCCCCAGCTAAATAATCCCATCAGCCCATCATTTCACACACCGCACTCTTTTTCTTCTCTCTAAAGCCTGAACAATTTGCCCGGTGTTTCTCTATCTACACCTCTCTCGACTGGACGGGACTTCGAGGGTTTTGGCAGAGGTATCTTCACAACGATTCTGTATTTTCTTCCCGACACTATAGCCTTTTGATTTTAACTTGTCTTCTGATCCCCTTATTTCGCAATCATTGATCTTTGTTGTTTTTGTTCACTTGAACTGTTTTTAATCTTAACCCCTTTTCAAAAGTTGTGATCTTTGAAGTTTTATATTTTTTCCCGTTTATGTTTCGATTTTATGTGGTGGTGGTGATTTTGAGTTCATGGGTTTACTTCTTTGCAGCTCGAATTAGGTTTTTTAGAGGGTTTCCTTTTAATTGATTGTGTGTAGTTCTAATTTATGCCATTCTCTGCCCGCTGGGCATCAGATTTTACATGCGCTGGCTTGCGCATCGTGATTTGGAGATGTTATTAGTGAAATGTATGTGTCATGCGCGTTGAAATTTGTGTTCTTATTTTCCTCTTCTGTTTCAGGTTGGTAGTCCTGTAGTTTTATTCTATCAATATGCTTGTCTAAAATGTGATTTGGTCGAATTTTTTGCTCACTTTTTTCGTTTGTTCAAATTCACAAAACCCATTATTTGGCATTTGATTGTATTCGTTATTCAAACAACCAATGAGCAACCAATGAGCGAAGTATGTCCTTTTGGCGACATGCATATCACCATAACTGATGACGTGGTTTGGTTCGTTTATTTTAGGAATTGAAACATTTTTGTGACCAGAAAATAACCGAAAAATGGCAAATGCGGCTGCTATTGCTGAGAGGGCTACCAGTGATATGCTGATTGGTCCAGACTGGGCCATAAATATAGAACTATGCGACATAATAAACATGGAACCTGGGTACTTTTACATTTACTTGAAATATACTTCCAAATTTTCAGTTTAACTTGAATGATGTATTCAATGATCTAACCTGTTATGTTAAATGTAATCTGAATCGCAGGCAAGCAAAGGATGCACTGAAGATATTGAAGAAAAAATTGGGGAACAAAAGCCCTAAAATACAGCTCCTTGCGCTATTTGTATGTTTGGTCTCCTATATGTTTGCTAAACTGTCTCTGTAATTGCACTTGTGTACATCTAAGACTATCTTCTAATAATTAATGATTCAGGTGCTGGAGACTCTTAGCAAAAACTGTGGGGAAAATGTGTTTCGGCTGATTGCCGATAGGGATATACTACATGAGATGGTCAAAATTGTGAAGAAGAAGGTACTATGACCGTTTTTGCTGATGTTTTGTTCATACCTTTCCTTATTTATTAAACATTTTATACCTCGTGAGAATTTGCAGCCTGATTTGAACGTGAGGGAGAAGATTCTGGTGTTGATTGATACTTGGCAAGAAGCTTTAGGGGGTCCCGGAGGAAGGTTTCCCCAATATTATGCTGCGTACAATGAATTGAAGGTGATTAGAATTTTTTTTCTTTTTTTTCAACGTCTTGACCAATTTACTATATAGCTAAACTTACAGGCACAATTGAAGACTTGAAGTTACGTGTTAATCTATGATAAGAGTGAAATATGATATCTCAAGTTATAGTCCTTGGAGAAATGTATACATATATTTCTTTGACCCACAAAGAATTTTCAGATTTGTGTAGTATATATATATATATATATATATAAATATATATATATATATAATTATGAGTTCAGAGGGAGCTGATATGAAGTAAATTTTAACCATTTATTTTTGTACTTTGAATTTTGTAGTCTGCTGGGGTAGACTTTCCACCGCGGGTCGAAGATAGCGTTCCACTATTTACTCCACCACAAACACATCCAATAGTCCACAATACTCCATACGAGGAAGCTGCTGTTCAAGCGTCTCTTGAATCTGATATTTCTGGACTTAGGTGTGTGTAGTTTCATATTTACTTGTTGGTTTAATATACTTTTCATCTGCATTTACATTTAATTTGCACATTGTTCATATTTGATGTAGTGGAAACTATTGTTTAATAGCCGTAAAAAACTTATTACTGTTGTGAGGAAAATCATGATACACCTTCGTGCTTGTCAATCTTTATTTATTTTCTTCTACAGATTCTCGAAATTGAACATTCTTTGTTTTCTTGAAATATGTTGATCATCTTCCGTTTGTTACAGCCTGCCAGAGATTCAAAATGCTGATGGACTTGCAGATGTTCTGATGGAAATGTTATCTGCCCTGGATCTAAATAATCCCCAGGTTGAACTTGCGTATCAGTTTTTAACTTCCCTTTTATTCTTTGACCTGTGCAGTTATAAAAAATATAAAATGATGACTACTTATCAAAATGTTTGCACATAGTGGTTTTTTCGTACAATTGTTTTTTATTTGTCTTTGTTTTGTTTTGTTTTGTTTTGTTTTGTTTTGTTTTTTTTTCTCTTAGTATAAATTTTCTTCTTAGTTTGGACAAGTANACTCGAACTAGTTCGTTTCTTGTTTTCTGTCATATATATAGGGTGTGAAAGATGAGATCATTGTTGACTTGGTTGACCAGTGTCGTTCATACCAGAAGCGTGTCACAATCCTCGTTAACAATACTGTGTAAGAGTACCATCCGTCTCTATTACATATTCATGTACTTTCATTTTAAGTGAAGTCAACAACTTAGTTGTATTTTTTCTTTCGGCCTTTTCCAGAGATGAGGATCTCTTATGCCGGGGACTCGCATTGAACGATAACTTGCAGCGAGTCCTATCTAAGCATGACGATATTGCAAAAGGAACATCAACAGCTTCTTCTGCAGTTAACAGAGAACCCTCTGTTGCACCACTTATGAACGTGAATCATGAAGATGAAGAGTCTGAAGATGATTTCGTTCAACTATCACGAAGGTATTTTTTTGCAATTACAAATTCTTGTATATTCTGAAAATATGTGTTTGCGATTTTTTATTTTTTTTTCTTTAGATTTTTTTTTTTACTTATACTGGTAAAAAGTAACAAAACGACGTAAAATTCCAGATCAGCAAGGGACAACACCACACAGGGACCAGTGGCCACGCCTCCAGCTGGCAAGAAACCAGTCGAGTCGAGTGTCGATTATTTAAGCGGCGACACGTACGAAACAGAACGGCCCGTGCCAACATATGGGCCCACAAATGCGGCCCGCCCGAATCCATTACCCAACCAAAAAAAGCCCACCTCACCTCCAGAAGATTTCGTAAACCCCACTGCATCTATGTTTGCTCCCAAATCAACATATGACGAAAATGCTCCTCCTAGCAAATCGGCTGACCATTTACCCTCGGCAGCCGCAGTCAACCTCCCGCCCCCTCCCTCAAGGTACAATCAGAGGCAGCAGTTTTTCGAGCAGCACCCTGGTGGGCCCTCCCACTCGAGCAGCGAGTCGGGCTCATCGTACGACAGTCTAGTGGGCCAGGCCCAAGGCCTGTCAATCAAAACTCCAGTGGGTTCTGATAAGAAGGAAAAGCCCGAGGATGTGCTTTTTAGGGACTTAGTGGATTTCGCCAAGGCCAAGTCATCCTCGCCTAAGCCAAACAGGTCGTTATAACTTATAAAGCGCGATTTAGTGGGGTTTTTAAAGACTACTGATGGAAACATCGGCACTTTTTTTTTATATGTTTGTGGAAAATTCTGGGTATTGGCGTTAAACGACTTGAGAAAACCTTGTGGCTTTCGGTGTATATCTTCTGGGTAAATTGAATGTAAAAGCTGAGATGAACAGGAACTTCTTGTGGATATTGGTTGTGTTTTATTTTTTTTTTTTTACCTTTCTTACCTTTCTTTGACTGCATAGTTTGTTGTATTTTAATTGTTGAGTTCTTTTCTGATGCTGGATTTAGACAGTCACTTTTTTGATGGGAGTTGGGAGTTATTTGTTAATGATGTCTGTGTTATACGGTATGTTATTTCCCAAATTTTCCTTAGTTCTTCCATTTTAGCATCCAAGCCACAAAGAACACTACCAACTGATTTCTGATCAAACCTCTCTTTCAAAAAAAATTGAGATATTGTGAGTTTTGTCAGCTGATCATTGTAGGATTCGCAAGAAATTTTTCGATTTATTCTGGAAAATCATTAGCCGGGACATTGAGAAATATTCATAAAGGTCTTTCGGAAATCGGTCTGATTCTATCTTTGTTCCTTCCGCTTGATAGCTTTGTCTGTTCCGTATAATGAAAGGAACGATCCAAAAATATTGATTTTTCTTTTTAAAAAAATTGGAAGATTGTGTGTTTTGTTCATGTATTACATACATAACATCATTGTGTAAGTTCCTTATTATGTTCCTTTTCATGTCAAATTGTACCCATAAATCAGAGCAGAACTGTAGCAAGTGTTTGGAAGAATGACTTCGGGAATTCCACATAACTTGGGTGTTCTATGATTGCAGTCATATATCCATTAATTTTTTCTACTCCTTTTCCCTGCGAAAAGAAAACTAAAATAAATAGCACTAATAATATAAGAAATCCAATAGTTGTTCTACAGAAATTAGCTTATTTGTTGTCGGTTTGGGGTGCCGAAGGTATCCGACAATGGAATTCAGTTCAATGGAAAAAAAATTTGAGCATAGTGCGAACTGCGGATACATAGAGATCGAGCAGCACCTCGCATCAATAGCTCATCCATAGGAGAATGGTCATGTCGAACAGTCGAAGTCACCAACAGGATCATACTGAATAGGCTGAAGTCGAGGTTGGTGAAGGCTTCAGGAGCATGGGTTGATGAGCTAACGTCAATTTTATGGGCATATTGAATCGTCCCTAGGAGAGACCCCGTTCAACTTGGAATATGGGATGTTCAGGGTCGGTTAGGTCCGGGCCGGGACCAGTTCGCGGGTCGGTTCCCGGACTGGTTCGGCCCGTGGACATGTCTACTACACCTTTTATTGGAGCCTAACAAAAAAGGAAAAAACACTTTCTTTGTGTGTTAATTTTCAACAGATGGGAGAAGAAACTTTTCGATCCTCACGAGATTGTTGGGAAAAATATCAAAATTCATTTAATGAAATTACCAAAAAACCAATGAAAGCCCAGTCAAATACCAGTGTTCTAAAAGTCGCTAGGCGCCCGCTAGGCGTTCGACCAGTGCCTAGCGCCTAGAGCGCTTAGTCGGGGCCTAGGCGGCGCCTAGTCGGGGCTCAGAAATCAATAGTAAATACCTTATTTTTTATTTATTTTAACTACCTACAAAATAAAATTATATCAACATATAATAAATTCACACACCAAAGTCCGAATAATAATATTAGTATATATTAAAGAAAACATGAGAACAAAATAATGTAATTAGTATTTAAAAAAAATAAAAAAAAT